GGCATACCGGGGCCGCGGGACTTGCCGTGCTCCGCTGGGGAAGCTGGTCGCGCGGTTGCAGAGCTCCGGCCGGGGTAGCGGGGCTGTGGGACTTGCAGCGCTCCGGCTGGAGTAGCGGGGCCGTGGGGCTTACCGCGCTCTGGCTGGACGCGGGGCCGATTTATGGGAATCAGCCTAAAGCCGGCCCTGCCCCCCCGAACGCTCCTTGGTGCCCCGCTAGGGGGATGCCCCATAGATTGGGGGCCTCTGGTCTAGAAAGAATCTGAGAAGGAAACAAGAGAAAGATTTTCAAGCGCTCACGTCCTTCATTTTTGTCAGGATGGCCTGACAGCAGGGGAGAGGTCCCACCTGCCTTTCAAGAGTAGTGGAACTATTGAGACTAGCTGAACATACAGGATAGCATCATATGTACAGATGGACGAATCAGAATAGCCAGATCACTGAGGACTGAAACTCTTTCAGGAACACATCAGAGCTATTCCAGAAGAGAAGCCTGTCTCCGGTAGCCAGAAATGCTGTATACTGGGCAGATGTACCAAGGATCTCTGAGACCTGGTGAGCAGCTGGGATACACCTGGGGAAGACCATGCAGCAGAGAGACAGTGAAAATCCACAGCCTCCCCAACGTATCTTGGAACAACGTAGGAACGGACCTTTTCACCACAAATGACATCATTGCTATAGACCGCTATTCAGACTCCTGGGAAGTAGAAAAACTGTCAGACACTCCCGCAACGACCATGACAGCCTGAGCAAGGTGTGGTATTCCAAACGGTGTCGTTTCAGACAACGGGACTCCAGTTCACTTGCAATGAGCAGTTTACCTGGGACTGGAAACTCAGTCAAATCACATCACCACTTTACCACAACCAGTCAAAGGCAATGCAGAATTTGGCAGTTAAAATTGTTTAGATTCTATTAAAGAAAACTGAAAAAAGCAGAGAAAATATATGGCAAGCCATTCCTCAGTGGAGAAACATGCCCACAGAAGGCCTTACTAGCTGCCTGGTGCAACACTTGCTATGAAGCTGAACACGTACCTTGGTGCCTATAACGCTAGCATTATTGCAGCCAGCAGAGGTGAACGGAGTGACAGACAAAAAGGAAGAGAGATGTGAAAAAGCCAAAGCCTGCTGTGACTGACAAGCTAAAGACATCCCATAACTACCACCAGGAGACCCTATTGAGATCAAACTACTTCCTCAGGACAAATCCTGCACTTGGAAGCAAGCTACATGTGTCGAACAGTTAAATAATAAAGCAGCGGATGAGCAGCTATTTCACCGAAACGTTAAATAGTTTCCAACTAGGTATCCAAGACAAGAATGTGGATGTGAATGAAATACGCACTATGCTGAGACTCTATCCGCAGGACAGGGAAGGAACACAGATGGATGAGTGACTGACAGATATCAGAACACTCTCAAAACACAACCGAATCAGCACATATGCCAAAATCAAACCGCGCTCAAGGTATACACCCAACAATACTAAGGCGTGAAAGAACAACCTTCCCAAACCCAGGGGAAAATACCTTAGTTGCCAAGCAAGTTAAGAGTTAGTTTATGTAAAAACAAACAACAAGCTGACATTAGACCTATGATAATACATACCTTATGGGCATATGATATAATGTTAAGCATGTAGCAGCTTATGGAAATCATGGTTAATTTTGCTATCTCAAATAAATGTGACCAATGGGATGTTACTATCAATAGCTCCCCAATAGGGGGTGCTAGCATGATTATATCTAGGAATGGAGAGAACTGGACTTCCAAGATGTGCTTGACGAGAGAGAACAGTACATGGGAAGGAAAGAAGGAAGCCTGAATGTTGCACTGTCTGCAGGGCCGTCCTTAGGATTTATGGGGCCCTACGCAGTATTATTAAACTGGTGCCCCTATGCCCGACGGCAGCCAGGGCTCGCAGCCTGGGGTGGGGAGGGACGTGGCAGCAAAGGATACTGAGCTGCCTGGCCCACCTCATGGCGGCAGAGAGTCACAGTTCCCTGCAGAGACCCCTGTACCCTCTCCCTCATGCAGAATGTGTGGCGCTGGGACATTCAGCTCTGTGAATACAGCCCCGGCCTAAGGACAGTGCAGCGCACGCTGGGTGTGCGGGAGCCAACCCGCTCTTACCTGCTGTCATGGGCGGTGGATAAAGCTGCCACTTGAGGAGGCTAGCTCCCTAGCCCACCTCTTCTGCGTGTGGCCCCACCCATACTTCACCCCTGCTCTGCCCCAGGCCCTGCCCCCACTCCCCGCACGCCCCACCCTCTTCCCACTGTCTCCCTCCTCTCTTCCCTCCCCTTCCCTGCTAACCCCCTTCCAGCCAAATCCCTGAACCCAAATGAAGCAAATGACATTTGAAAAAAAACCAAAATGGAGCATGTTTTCCACTGCATGCCAGATGGTGAAGACTGGACATGCAGAAGATACCTAATTAAAAGCACTAAACTTGGGAATAAAAAATGTCAGTCACAGGTTTTTTGATATATTCTGAAGTTTGTCAAAGATTTCTTTGCAAAAACTTTGTAGTAAGGGCAAGTCAGCTGTCCTGCTGAATACAACATTAAATATTATGGAAAACATGATGCAGCTCTTCTGTTTTACATTTTCTTAATCAGTATTTCTAAGCCTTCATAAAGTAAGCATTCCAGATCACTACATATTTAACTCACTGAAACAAAGACATTATTTTAAATTAATCAGTCACAGAGGTTTAGTGTGTTCATAACAATGTTCATTGCTTTCAGAAAAAGGGAACACTAATTTACTTTGTGTGATCTCCATAACAATAGTCATGTTTGTGAAATTTCACCAACTTTAAAAAATATGTTTCCAAAGATTTTAGGCATAACAAAGGATTTTATATTTTTCTAAGGTACAGATTTTGCTGGAGGGTTCTCTTAAAACTAATTAATCAAATAGTCAGAAGTAAAGAAAGGGAAACTCGATTGTCCAGCTATCTGGAAGGAAAGAGGCTCTCTTCAACAGGGGGGTGAAGGGAGAAAGGGATGGACAGAAAGGACA